GGTTTTTTTTTTTTTTTTTTTTTTTTTTTTTTTTTTTTCTCTTTTCAAGTCGATATCTGGCGGTCAATTGCTTCCTGATTGAATTTCTATATATTTATTTAAATGTAAATCTTTGCCATCTCTAAATATAAACCAGCACATTTTGTAATGCACAAATTACATCAGAAGATTTTGTTCGGAAATTTCTTATCAGCTATAGAAATGTGGATCAATACATGAATGGCTGACTAATGATCGTCTTTTAGCTGCCAATGTCAAAAGAAGAGGAGCCATTATCAGAGAATGTATCTTGATGTTTACCTCTTAATTTGTGACAGTAAAATGCAAGTACCGCCAGAAACGTTAACCAGATACATTTTGTCTCTTCACACGTTCGATCATAATGGAGACAAGTGGTCGGGCTTTGATACGGATTGGTTTGGAGAACAATCTCTTCAACTGACAATAATAGCACTGCAAAATTTCAATAGACCGTGCACAGCGCTGAGTTTCATATGCTTAGAGAAGACTACTGTGCGGAGGAAACAACAATTTCGCACAAGTAACTTTGTGGAAAATAAGTTGCAATTAGTATGGGTAACTATTTCATGTATGAGTCAAATAGTATGGGGCAATAACGCAGACAGTAAGTCTGAAATGAAATACTGTAGCCGATAACAACTGACGACACTTATTGATTAAATTATCTGTGGGGTTGAGATAATCATTAGGCCACGTTTCTCGTGATCTTGGCGTGTGATTTTGTCGGTGTCTCCTTCCTTAAGATATATTTGGATACCGCAAATCATCTAGATAACATTCTTTTCGCCAAAATTAATGGAACGGTCACAATTTTAAAGGATGTTAGTTAAAAACCAGACGGGGAACGGCGAACAAGGTACGGGAGTCTTTGACCGAAATTCCAGCGGTAATCCGCATAAGAATTCAAAATGACGTATGATAACAAACGGTCTGAGCGCCAGTTTTGAGCAAGCGCTCTTCAAGCTCGGTCGTTAAAGGAAACAGCGCGGACGACATATGAAGTTGTTATTCAGTTGTTTTTAAAATGATCTCTGTCTTCAAAATTATTTTTACGCTGATATAAATCGCAGGTCCTATAGAAATCGAGTCTTCAGAGAGGAGAGTCTCTGAGAATCAATCATTACCCGTTCCCCGTTTCCCGTTCAGGATTTTAGTCACATCCAAATAAAAGGTGCCGATTGAGGAAAGAGAATCCAAAAATATGTAGCTGAGAAACGATGTCCTCAATTGGCGAAATGATAGCTCGAAACTCGCTCTGCAAACTTTCTTTTCTGGTCTGGTGCAAAAGGTCGACTCAGAAGTAATTTGTGATACCTTTTGCATTAATGGTCACCTCCACCTGATTTATGATGTTTGGCAATCCTCTCACATCCGCAATGAATGGGAAATGAACGGATATTAAACTCGATACTTAACGTAATTAAAGTACTAATTTGAAACACATTTACGTCTACGATAATTCCATAAAGCTATGTGTATTACAAAACTGCTGTTAAAAAAGCGTAGTGAAGAAACTCAATCGCTTGACGGATATGCTACATACGTGTCTCTCAGGATTCCTAAAGGATTGCTAAACTGTTCCGAATTTCTTTTCTTCTCAGCTTTGGGATGCTTCATGACGGAAATGATAATGACTGTAAGTGGAGTCCAGATAAACCCTTTCTAATGTCTCCGCAGCTGGAAGCTTCAGGTCGGCAACAGCTTTGGTCCTCTTGCAGCAGAAATTATCTTAGACGCTTCTTGAAGTAAGTTGTAGTGATGAATTTGTAGTCGAGTTCTTAACAACGTGAACCTCGATAAAACGCATGCGCCACTGTCTTTAGATTTACGCCTGTTTTCCCGCGCTTTCCCTTAGCACGCGTTTTTCTCAAACTCTCATTGGTTTCTGCATCCTTTGGCTGACGTCTTTTTCCCGCGTTTTCAACAGGTCAAATATTCTTTATGGCGGTCTGACTAGTTTATTACGCAGTTCACAATCGTGATTACGGGGCATGGTTAGTGACAACCATCTTATGGTTCGCACTGTGAATGAAAAAGTAAACAGAGAAAACGAAACTTTACGCGCTTTACTATACTTTCTGGTCTCAATTTTCCTTTATTTTACCAAAACTAAGCGGCTGATATTGAAATATTGGATTTTGCCATTTTAATCAACATACCTAAGATAAGGGTATTAATTATTTCTTATGGCCCTAGCGATTTAATTCCGTTTTCCATTAATTTAGTAAAGGCTGGGGGCACTGCCTGGATGATGAGCCTGCAAAGCATGACTTTGAATTCCCCACAATGCTCCCAGGGGTGATCTATGACGCTGACCACCAGTGTCGTCTGCAGTACGGTCTAGACTCTTCCCACTGCACAGGCATGACGGTAAGTTCGAAACATTCACATACTCCTACTTGTAATCTCCAAAACTTTCAGTATTCTCTAAAACCTAAATCTTCTCTTAAGCCTCTTTATTATAAACGTCCCACTTTCTTCTGCTCGATGGGCGACTGTGGGGACTTAAGCCCAATTTGGAGTCCTTTCTCTGTGGCATTCACGGTTTTGTCAACCCGTTAAAGCATAAGAGTGACCAGCATCTAATTTCGCCTTTTAGTAATACTGCTGAATCCTTCATTGAGATTATGAGAATGTGAACACATCTTCCTTGTCAGCTCCAAAGGAAATGTGTAGAGATGAGTATGGAGAACATGGAAACCGATAGGATGTAGAGGGTTCCTAAAAACCAAAAATATGCGATTTTAGTGATGACATAAATTCTTATTGATACTTAGGATATCTGTAATCGACTGTGGTGCCGAGTCGGTAAGGCTTGTCATTCAAAACTGGAGCCAGCGGCTGATGGAACAAAATGCGGTGACAACAAGGTACTGATTGACTTCATTAGTAACGATAATGAGAGGGAAGTCTCAACAGAAGTTGATTAATTCCTCGCGTTTTCGATTTCTGTGTTACCAAAATCATCCAGACATCATCTAGTAGTTAGGTTAAGGACAGGAACTTCAACACCATCAAATTATGACAATTAGAGGAGAAATTAGAATCAGCATAACTTTCGACCAGATTTCTCTAATCATGACGACTACTATTTTCGCACCCTGGAGATAATTTTGACATAAGCACTCTTAGAATCCTACTACCAACAGCTAGTATCCCTTAGCTTGAAAAACGCGCTCACTCACACCTGAAATTTAAAATCGAGGATTAGAAGGACCAACTGACAAAATTGCTCCACACTATCATTCCGTTAAGACGAGAGACGAAGTGATCTTCACAGGTGAACCTCAACCGAAACCAGTGTATAAGAGAAAACTTGAAAAGTCTCATTTCATGGAGACTTAACAATGCGCCTCTTTCTCATGATGTCATTTATCAGTGGTGTTACAAAGGCAGCTGCATTGAGAGAGGGGAGATACCAGAGAGTGTGGATGGAGGCTGGGGACCCTGGAGAAATTACAGTGAATGTTCAAGAACCTGTGGTGCAGGAGTCTCCTTTACGGAGAGGCATTGCGATAGTCCCAGGTTTGTTGAGATGATGATATAATGGTTTACAAATGCATGTCCTAAAACCAAAACCGAACCATGAGCCATTATCCCTCTCATAACAGATATGAACAAACGTCAACATCACAAGTGGGCAAAGAGTGCGCACGCCCTCAATATTAGCACTTATCGGTTTGTTATTTCTTTCCGCAACTCAGACCTGCTAATGGAGGAAAGTATTGCATCGGGGAGTGGAAAAAGTATATACTTTGCAACACACAGGTGGGTGTATTTCACAGAGCTCCAATCTCACTGGGCAATCAGAACGTAAGGAAATTTTACCAGCACCGCCATAAACTCAATTTGAAAGTAAAAACATGTAGGGTGCCTGAAGCGCGGGATTGGTTAGAGAGATGACGCGAGTTTTCTACATCAATCACAGATTGCTTTCAACTCTGAATTGTAAATTTCTCTATTTCATAGGAGATATTACTTTTAGCGTGAACCTAATTTTATATAATTTCTCTTTCAGCCGTGCACTCCTGGCAGTATGAGTTTTCGCGAGTTGCAATGTTCACAGTTTGACAATAAACGCGTAAATAACAGACGATGGAATTGGAAACCACGTTATTCAAAAGGCAAGTGATTAGTAATAGAATGAGCCAGTTACTCAACTCTCTCTTAATCTAGGACCGTACAGGGTGCACAGGGTTATGCGCAGTACGCTGCAGTAATGATACATATTCTTGGTTTTTGGAATCGTGACTGACTGTTATGTAAAAGAACGTTTGGGCATGTCAGCGAAGACTTCACCATTAGATGTAATGAATAACTTCGAATTTGCCCTCCTCCTTAATTGTTCTGAAAGAATTGATTATATTGTGTTTATCAACGGCGTTGTTATCTGTTATGCTTTTAGTCTCTCCTTGTGAGTTGCACTGTACACCCAAAGGTCTGTTTGGTTTGTACTTTTCCAAGAAGTTGGCTGATCAAGTTCGTGACGGAACACCCTGCTTTCCAGGAAAGTGTGACGTGTGTATCAATGGCAAATGCGAGGTTTGTTAGCGAACCTAACCCTCACTCCTACGAGTGACCAATAAGTAATTTCTCCTTACAATAGCAGCATTACCTCGTACAGAAAGGTGACGAGATAAATGAAAATATCAACGAGAAACTATCTGCTGTACCTTCAAGTTCTTAGAGCTAAAATTACAGGAGATATATGGCAGACAGAGAGAAGAATCGATATCATGAAAGACCTTGGGATTCAAAGGGTCAATGCGAGTCCACAGAGTCTATATATTTGCATCACGATGAAAGACGCTTAACATACGCTAGTCCCGATTACTTGTAGCAATGTTACAGCGCAGTTTTCAGTATTAATTAAAAGGCTTTTCTCGGCCGAAACATCGACAACATCGACACTTGCCACCAAATAAAAGATGCGTTCAACTGTGGATAGTGCGCTGGACTGTTGTGCGGGAGGTCGAGGGTTCGAGCCCCGGCCGGACCAACACTCAAGGTCTTAAAATAATTGAGAAGAATTTGCTTCCTTTCTACAACATCAAGAAATGGTTAGATATTCTAGTCTTCTCGGATAGGGACGAATAAATGGAGGTCCCTTCTCCTACAGGGTTGGAAGTAGGAGACGTTAATTTTTCACACACGAGATTAACGTGTGATGGCGATGGATGTCCTCCCCTGAGGTGGGATTGGGTGGGTTTACTGGGCCCGCAGTAATTGGTGCAAGCTGTTGCGGTGTCCCTGCCTGTCGGCGAATCTAATAAATTAAATTAAATAAATTAAATTAAATTTCTCGTTTGGCTTTAACATTTAATTCATGCATTTTCACCCGCTGTCGGGAGAAGAGTCTAATTTGTCCTGAATCTTTCCGTTTGTTCCTGAGCCCATCTATCTGAACATCACTATTTCCTTTGAATTTTTGGTAGCATGTTGGTTGTGATAATGTTCTCCATTCAAGTGCTAAAGAGGACAAATGCGGTGTTTGTCGCGGTGATGGAACAGCATGTGAGACGGTCAAGTCAACTTTTAACCAGAGAACTGGAATAGGTATATGGGTATTTAAAATTTTGTTTTAATATAATTATTATTATTATTATTATTATTATTATTACTACTATTATTATTGGTATTATTATTATAAGTACTGTTATTAGTATTCGAAACAAAGTTGACTCCATCCTTCTCCGTCATCAAATCATCTTTCAAGCAGTTCCAAAATAATTTAGTTTTATCAACTTAGTTTAAAAACTAACAGCTTTTCACTTCAATGGAGGTTGCTAGCGCTTTACAGCTCGGTAAATTTCCGACACCGCCAGCCACCGACAGTGAGGTGAATAAGTGTTTAAATACATGCTAAAACAGTGCTACAATATGGCACAAAGAGATGATTTTAACGTATTCATTTCTACAACGATTTCAAGATTTTCGAGCGCAAATCCCAAACGCGTTGTTCGAAGGTGAACAGCCAAAGATAATCGGAGTTTGGAAAATCAATTTAGACTGCGCCTTTAACGCTATCCACTGTTTGATTATACAGTATACTTATGTGAAGTGGCCGCTCAGCTTCATGAACTCTCCACGGTACCAACTCCGTTGATTAAACCAAATTTTCTTGTATCACCCGCATCGATACAGGACCACAGTTTTATAGGAGAGTTACCTCCTTGCTTTCTTTCAAACAGTTAGATAGATATATCAAAGTTACAGCTGCTGATCACTTTGAACATAACCCCTGAAAATTGCGAAGAAATCGGGGAGCGGAATACCAATTAACTTTGGAACGTAACCCCGGATTTGATCTGGTTTTTAAGGAAACTAAATCGAAAAGAAATTTTGACTTCCCGTCTCTGTAACGTACCTTGTAGGATACGTCGAAACGAAAATCATTCCAGCAGGTGCCAGAAATATCCGCGTTGAAGAAGTGGCTGGCGCTTCAAACTACTTAGCCCTGCGGTCGTCCAGTGGTAAATGGTACCTGAATGGCGATTGGTATATTCAACAGAGTGGCGAATACTCTGCCGGGGGTACCATGGTATTCTACAAAAGGACACACAACAGGGAAAGTTTTCAAGCCCTGGGACCGACTACTGTTGACCTTCATATTATGGTTTGTTGGGAGACAATTTCGATTGCATAAATTTGAGTCCAGTCCTTGATATCTCTTTCTCTTTTGAAGGAAATCTTTTATTGTCACTTCACGCAGGAAGAGGAATCGTGAAATAGCTGAGATTGTTTATCTTTATGCTTTGCTTAGATATTAATTACTTCAATGGGAGTATTTGAATAGGTAAAAGCTGTTCTCAAGAAAAACCATTCTTTATTCTCTCAAGCTCCTCTTCCAAACCAAAAATCCAGGCATTAAGTTTGAATACACGATTCCCAAGAACCAGACAGTAACCCACACAATCGTGTTCAAGTGGAGGTACAGTGCTTGGACGTCATGTTCAGCTACTTGTGGCGTTGGTAAGTAAGAAACATAGGCAAACTCAGTAATCAAGTTTGTGCAAAAAGAAAAATAGCAAAAATTGAACTTTTGCACCACCATTTTTGTCCTTTCTTTTTTCTTTCTTTTGTTGGATCTTTCAGAGGACGAGAAGAAAAGTAATAGAAATTATAAACGGAAAAAAAAAATTGCCGTTCACGTTTGCAATCAAAGTGATGCTTAACCTTACCATGCAGAACAGCTACGTCGACGTTCTAAGAATTCAATTTAAGGGCACTAAAAGAATGGTCACGATGTGTAACTGTAAGATAACTGTAGCCTCCATGACAGTTTCTTTGATAGGCCTACAACGATCATTTACCTGTGGAAAATGTGTTTTGTTAAGACTCGCATCGACTGAAATACCGGTGTGCTTCGAGCCAATCAAATCGCGAGTTTGTAATAAGAACACAACTGCGGATTTCCCCTTAGAAATATTTCTTTCATAGGCACCACTCGCTCTGAAGTGGAATGTGTGGAAGAGAGTGGTACACCAGTGGATGATAAATACTGCAAACCCATACCAAGACCAGATGACAGGCAGAAAACCTGCAATGAAGATCTTTGTCCCCCCACGTGAGTTTATGAGTAATTCAACTAAGTTAATAAAAGTTAGTGGGGCTGGAATTAAAAATGAATTAAACGTTGTCGTTTAGCGGCGTAGTAATCAAAGAAAGGCAGATCAGTCCACGTGCAATCGTCAAAAAGTCGCAGTACCCTCGTTGAGAATTTTGTAAAGTGAATGAAATCGAACCCGAAAAGATAGTAAAAATTTGTCCAGCTTGCGAAACAAGCGTATCTTTTTTTTTTTTTTTTCTTTTTTAGGCGGGAAACGCGAATGAAACGCGAGAAGTTACTTTTCGCGTTCGCCCTTTTCTACAAGCTGACATTATTTTAAGGAACATGGGACAATGACAAAGTAACATGAATTTCTCAGGGGGGGATTGCACGTTCTCTTGTTCAAATTCTGCAAGCGCTCTATGATACTGCCTTTATTAAATCTCTCAGTTGATTGGTCAATTTAGTGGCTCATTTATCACTGTGCGGCTCGCTGTATTCAAAGTTTGTTTGCTGTCTAATCCTCTACCTCTATTTGACCGTAGATATATAATAAATATGGGAAGCTTTCTGTCACGAGCGTGAGATAACGAAAATAAATCAAAAAGGAAGAAATTTTTAGTGCGTTCAAAGATAGAAGTCGTCCAACTGGTTTAGAAGTTACATTTTGACTCTTCATACAATTTTAGATGGTGGAAAGGATCATGGCAAAAATGTTCCAAAAGTTGTGGGAAAGGGATTTCTATTCGCTCAGTGCTCTGTGTAAGAAGTTCTGGAAATGATGAACAAATGGCTTTGAAAGATGAGGATTGTGCAAAGATTAGAGAGAAGCCGGCTGTCGTTAAAACATGTTTTAGGAAATCTTGCCCCTCGGCATGGACTGTGGGAGAGTGGACCAAGGTAAGAGGCTGTCGACACTTAAGTAAATTGATTTGAGAATCATGTGTTTGAGCTGCGGAGTTACAATCATTGTTTTGATGGGAAAAGATCATGCTATCATACGATAAATTTAGCAAGAAATACTGTCAAACACGACTCCTTTGCTCCTCGCTTGCTCCTTATGATTCTAAATCTTAAGTAATGTTGTTAAAAAATTTTTTTACCAATTTAAGTGTCCTGTAGCCAGCTTACTGAAAGTCCCTCGTAGTGTGATTTATAATGATCAAAACTGTTTTGCTTATTCAATGTCAGTGTTCAGTGTCCTGTGGCCAGGGAATCAGGAAACGTAACGTGACCTGTGAAGTAGCAGACCCCACAGAAAAGTGCGATAGTAGAGCTGTACCTATTTCCTGGGCTTACTGTAGTGAAGGAATTTGTCCCGTCATAACCCTCCCTCCAAAAACTACGGTAAGCGATTGTAATGTTATCCAGAAGTCTTTTTCTTAGACCAATTTTCAATTGAGCGTCGGCAGTTTCATGGAGTCCATCGGTCTTGCTTTACCTCGCTCTGTGAATGACCGTGAGAACTTTCTCTATTACCTCGGCCAATCAGATGAAAAAGTAAAACCAGCCGAACTTCACACCTCATTTTCCCGCGCTTCACGCAGTTTGCTTGTCACTTGCTGCTTGCCCTATTTCCCTCCGCTCGTGGACGTTGAGTTTTTTTTTGGTTTTGGTTTCATGACACACCATCGAAAAGCGCTTTGTCATAACATGGAGACCCGCGCAATGATCAAACTCCTTATCAAAAAAAAAACATGTCTTTGCACAGGCCAACAACATTTTTCTTGTAAATCTTCGGGGAGAAGACGTCAGAGACGCAGGGAAAAATTCAAGCTTGAAAAAATACTGCAATGGCCAGGACTGCCTTAAATGGTCAGTGGGTCCCTGGAGTAAGGTATGATTTGTATACTGTTAAAACACTCTCATAAAACCTTATTAAATCAATCAGCAACTGGCTTTAATGGTTCAATTATTTTTCAGTATATGATGTTACCATGTTCTTCTTTTCACCTACAGTGTTCGGTGACTTGTGGTAAAGGGAATCAAGTTCGGCGCGTTCATTGCGCAGAATCAAATCTACTGTGCAGCAAAGAGCTGAAACCACCACACGTTAGAAAATGTACGATGGAAGATTGTGCTAAATGGCAGACTGGGCCGTGGTCCAAGGTAAGTGAGGAGGAATTACGCTCTTGCCCATTTGTCTTATTGGCCAAACTGTTCGGTAAAAACAAAAACGAAAACTCAGATGATTGAATAAAGAGAATTCAAAGCAAATTTCACACCTTTTTTTCTGACATCTATGGACAGATTACTACTCGATACCTCCAGGAACTGTCAGGAAGTAACTGTACGTTTTCAGTACAGAATTTTGAAAACTTCTTAGGGTCTAAGATTTTTAGTACTTTACTCTCGTTCATTTTCAATAACGCCGCTGATATTTTTAATGGTACATTCTTCTGTTTTTCAGAAGGAGAGCTTTGAACTTCCGATTTTGATCGATGAAGGATAATTGTCATTTTAAGAAACAATGATATAGATACAAAGTCTAAATCGGACCGAGGTCGTTTTCATCCAAGAACCGATTCTCGTTTCGATTGTCCTGGTGGAAGCAATAAAGGCTGCAATTTTATGAAAATCCTTGCACAAGTCATTCTCTCACAAAATCAGTGTATAAATTCTAGAACGCAGAAAGGTTTGTCGCATTGGAAACCTTTTTTGGTCGAACATTGCTCTGTACTTTATCTAGACTATGAGCAGTCCGTCGCGCAAGTAAAAAAAAAAATTAGCGGAAAGAAAATAAAAGATAGTTGTGCGCTGTGTGGAACTCTGGGAGGAGTTCTTTTCTTGTGCCTCACCCCCAGAGCTTCGCGCGGCGCGCTATCATCAATTTTTATTCCCTGAATTTTTCGGACTTCTGCAATGAACGAAGAAGAGGAGGAACTGCTCTCAGTCCACACCTAGGCTCCTTAACTGAACAAATTTAAGTTCCTACGCGAACTTTCTTCAAAATTTTTTTCTTCTCAGTGTTCAACGTCGTGCGGAAGTGGAACACGAAAGCGCAGTGTGAGATGTAAGACTGTGGAAAAAGGTATAGTTTTGAGACACTGTTCCATGGCCGATAAACCAAAAGTCCAAGAGAAATGTTATGTGAAGGACTGTCCCAACAAAAGAACTGGTAAGCTCTTTTTACTAGTACAATTAGTTTTTTTTCCTCGAGTACTGCTCATTTTAATACATCCCTGTTTCAATCATTCCATATACTAATTATCCCGTAGACTAAGCCAAGCGAAGATCCTATTTGATGACAAAGTAATTTTTGTTTTATCAACTGAGTTGATATTGTAAATTGGCCACCGTAAAGGGTTTCAAAGATGACGTTTCGAGCGTTAACCCTTCGCCGTTCTTTCTGACGAAGGGCTAATGCTTGAAACAGCGTTTCAGCTTCGAAACTCTTTACGGTGGCTAATTTACACCATCAACTCAGTTGATAAAACCAAAGTTACCTTGTTACTCCCACAGACGTAGCACCACGATTTCTTTAGAAACTTAAACCCTATGTGATGACAGACTTCACATAGGAAAATGTTACAGTTAGGAAAGACGTAATTGTTAATGCGTTATGTTTCTTCTGTCTGTTTTGTAGTAGAGAATCGTACTCAAACAAAATCAAACTGTTCGGAAAGTGCCAGGGATACGTATTTTTGCAAGTTGGTTGTTTTGCACAAATTTTGTCAGTTTAAACACTGGAAAGACAGATGTTGTAGGACCTGTCAAGACCCAAGATCCTGACAAAAATGATGGCGGATTTTTAACAATTCAATGCGCAACCAGCGAAACTGGTCACAATCAAGCTACACTTGAAATGTACGACAACGAATGGTCATCGGAAACCGTCGGATATTAAATCGAGACAATCCGTTTTAACGACGAAGAATATTTAGGAAAAATTGAGCTTCGTGCAAGCCTGGCATAAAGGACAAAGAGATAAAACGCTTGCAAGAAGTAAATCAAGTAATTTAAATTATTAGCTGACAGTTTTAAAGCATCAAAATTGATTTCAAAGAAATTGATATATTAAGAATGCGAAATCCAAACTCTCCTCCATGGTCCATGGAGGGAAGCGGGATTTAATTGCCAATCAGCGTTTCGTTATTTTTTTAAAGACTTAATCTCCTTGGAATGCTTTTAAATAGTTTAATGCTCAACGGCCGAAATAGGCCAGGCAAAATAATTAATAGAGACGGTATGGAAGCCATCCTTTCCATTAATTGTGATAACGAAGACTTAAACTCTGAGTTATTACATTAAGCGCGAACAGACCATGGTCGTAATTAGCTATTGAAGGACAGAAACAATGTTTTTTTTGATGGAAATATTTATAAAGTTGCCTCTGGCCATAGAGAGTTCTATTTTAAGAACAAATAAAGCAAGAAAAGAAAACAAATGCGAAATACTTCAGGAGCGTGATTAAAGCGTGAGAAATCAGTTATGGTGAAATCCTAGAGCTTCCGAAAATACTTTAAAATTCATGTTAGGGCAGAGACTCGTCAATAACACGACTAAATGAGAGGATCAGACAAAGGGTCTGAGCGCATTGGGTGCGTGAGGGCCGTTCCAAATATTTGGGTCTTGCCCGACCGCTAACTCAGTCAAAAAGCATTTTATGATATGACAGCCGTTCTTTTTCTTTCTTTTTTTCTTCTCTCAAATCGCTTCCCGCTCCCTGGCCTAGCTGGTACCATCGCCAAAGATCCTCGTACAGGATTGATTATCCACGTTTTTCGAATAAGTCTAATAAAAGCGCGTCCGTGGCCGTATATATTTAACCTACGTGTAGCCATACTCCCCTCCCTCTTCCCCACTCAGGAGAAATAGAAGGGGGAAGGATACTTTCTTCCTTCAAATCGCTTCTCGCTCCGCGGCCCAGCTGGTGCCATCTTTAAAGGTCCTCGTACAGGAATGATTATCCACGTTTTTCTAATAAAAGCGCGTGCGTGGCCTTATAGATAGCCAACGTGAAGCCATACTACCCCCTCCCTTACCCAGGAGAAACGAAACTGGGAAGGGTACGGCTACACATTGGATACTCTACAGGTTCTGTCAAAAGATGCTCCACAGGGTTTCACAAGACGTTAGGCTGACAGGGCCTTTGTTGTCAAGCTGAGCCTGTTCGGGGCTCTTGATCGGGTTTATGTTCGTTTCGCCGATGTGCTAGCTCGCCGACTTCCACGTCGCCGACAACCCCGGTCGATTTGCCGACGTGTCATTACTAGCTCGCCGACAAAAGATAAAACGAAAAATTTTCCAATGACGTTTTCTTTAACTCTATACTTTTTCATTAGTTGACTTTATAAATATTTCTGATGATTCTATCGTCTTTCCCTTAGCTTTACAGTCAACCACATGCGAAGACAAATGAACAGCACTGAGAACGCGACGATCAGCTATAAACTAAACTTTTCTTTCATTTCGTTTCCACCCTTCAAAAGAAATCGCAAGAAGTTTGTTTTTGATTGAACTGGCTTTGATCTGGCTTTAATAGCGAGATAAAACTAACAAGGGAAGAAAGAAAGCGTCGGTTAACTGACTCTTCACAAAAATAGGGTGAACTTACTTTTCACTGTACTCAAATATTGACTGCAAGGGTTGTTCAGTTTTCTCTGTATTTCCTCTTTATTTTGTATTCAAAAAGTGTGAAAGCATAACTTAATAAAGCAGAATAACTCGTCTTAGTATGTTGGTGAATCGACCAGCAAACTCGCTCTTCGGCGAAAAGACTGGATACCTTTAGTCGAGCCTAGCCTAAGAGTGAAATGGCGCACGAGTGAAACAGCGCATGCACGTCGTTTGGCGGTTGTCAGGGTAAATAGCAAGGAAGACAACCGCTGATCGTTTCTTCGCTTTTTTCCACATTATAAGAGAGACAAGGAAGGTTACGCTTTGTTGCTCTGACGTCGGCTGGTAACTGGTACTAGTACCCAGTCTACATGAACTCTCTTCCACTCCTGAGAGAAAAAGGATAAAAACCGATCGATCGCTTGAACTGATGACAACAGGAGAGTTAATTTAAGACAAAACTATCGGCGTCCACATTTCTAAGCTACTTTTATTTTAACGACTGCGAATATAGGAATATCATATAATTGAGGTACGGATTAATAAATGTGATGGTGATCATGGCCGTTACGAACACCACTAAGGCAGTAGTGAAAATCAATCCTGAAATTAAGGCTTGCATTTTCACTCCCGCTTAAGTAGTGTTCAATAATCACTGCGATAATCACTCTCGTGTCATCTACTTTTGTTTCATTGCGAAATGGTAAGTTTGCTTGGCTTTTCATAAAGAAAAAAGACAAAGAGTCGTTTCTGTCAACTTGTTGACGTTAATGCCGAGTCAGACAACTTTTGCTATCTCAGCGATTCAATTGATGATAAAATCTTGCATGGCCTGTTAGTTTGTGTCACTGCCTGATATGCAAATCAGCTCCACGCGGTCAAGAAGTCTCATCTGATTTCCATGTGATCACCGATAGTTTTCACCAAATCTTTCAATTTGCGCGCTGTAAATAGCCAGATAAATTCAAACCACAGACTGGAATAATCTTCAAGAATTATTTTGATATAGAAGATCTATTTTTGAGGATAAAAACACTATTCTTCGTAATTTCGTGACCAGTTCTTACGTTTTTTGATGTCTCAGCGTGCATCTCATTAGTCTTGTCTGAAAAAGTTTGAAGTGTTTGCGGTCAAGTGAAAATAACTCTTTTTACGATTGCATAACAATAGCTGGAATAAAGCTACGCATAGTCCAATGGATTTATTCATCAATCAAATTTTTTCTTTTATAACTTTCTGAAATTGAAGTTTCATTTGGACTTGTCTAATGGTCGAGAAAGTTGAGACCGGAAATACACATGACCGGAAATGGATTAAATGTTTACGTGTTGCTAAGGGTGATGTTGCTAGGGAAACCGGTATCTTGGAGACGTTGTTAGAAAAGTTTTCGTTCGCAAAGAGGAGGTGGCAGAATCGCATCGGAATTCGCGGCGCTGAGATCCTGGGTTTTTTCGGCAACTTTTCAAGGAATAATACCCCACCTTTTAAGTCTAAGATTAAGGAGATATGACCACCGAACAAAACGAGGAAAAAGTTTTACAGATTGCTGCGAGAGAAAGAGGTGAGTGAGACCAGGCGGAATTATAAGTTCTCAACTCGAGTCAAGTAGCTTCAACTTAGAAAGCGCGGTGGATGGATCATTGAAAAGTGCTTCGAATGTTGAAATTACTTTTATACCGAGAAAATTTCTTCTCTAATAGGTTTTCTCAGGTGGATGGGTTTTTCTGCGAATAATTTTCGTAAAACTTTTTAAGTCACAACCAGGTGAAGCGTGGCATGTTCGAAGCCACGCGTTCACCTTTAAATTCTTCCATCAACAAACTTTGATCATGGCGAGAACCATATCAATCTTTTGTCTGTACTCATCAACCCATATTAGAAGAGAAATTAGGAGAGTAGAGAAAAATTAAAGTTAGTGAAATTTGTTCAGATCTTTGAGACATCTTTAATTACATTTCTGTGCGGCTTCAAAACTATCAATGCAACACGCAATTTTCGATTATTATTTCAAAATTTTGGATTCAAATATACTGAATGTGATATCGTTTTCATGATCAATGGCCAAGGAAGTGAATTAGGGTATGTCTTTACTTTCTATTTCACAAAACAAACCTTTCGGCGGCTTTGTGTCTACACAGCTGCCTCGCGATGTATTTTCCGGACTATTATTAGAAGCTACTGGCAGGCATACCGTTAATTGGTTACACTGACACTTTGTTATCATCAATAGCTCTTTCTCTCCATTCGAAGGCTACCGAGACATTTGAATACTTTTCGATCGATCCGAAACTGTTTGCTCGAAATGTGGTAATTAAGGCAATGTATTTTATAGCTTTCGACATTTATCATGAATTGTTTACACTTTAAGAGTTAGAATCACTAAGGACATATCTCATTTCATCCACCCGCATTTTAGGCCCCGGGCCCGGTCGATATGGACTCCCTTCGATGTTGGGACATCAACAACATGACTGTAGACGAGTCAGAAAGCCAGCTTATTCCTTCGGTCATCGCTTGGAAAATTCAAGTAAGTACGCGTTGGAAATTCTGCGATCGACGGAGTCAGTGTTGTTTTCGCCGTGGAGTTTTCCCGCAGTTCGAACTGTCAACATGCACTAAAGTTTACGGTAAATTAAACGCGGCTCATGAATTTTACATGTATTTTTGTCACTAGTGTTCAGGAAAGACTGCAGCCCTGGACCTGGGTATAAAGTTGATCCTCGTATAACAAGGGACGGAGTTGATGGAACGCCAAGTTATTCCATCCTGGGGCGACAGAAAGATGCAAGTAAGTAGCTTTCGCTAAAAAACAATTGCTACTCGGAGCTACACCTACGACTGAGCCTTATTACCATTTTGAAAGAATATAATTATACATGCATCTGCTCCAAAAAGTACCAGCAGGTCTTTATCAATATTTAACCTGAATTGACTAAATGTCGCCTTGCGTAGGCTAGCTGAGCCAATATTCGGTTTTATCGTTTCTGCTTCTTTCGTGAGAAATAAAGATTTACTTGAAAACATGAGACTCAAAGCTTTCAAGTTATCTCATGTTAAAAGATGGAGTCTTTCCGAGATGCAGAGATAAAACTCGATATTTGTCTTTGAAAAACGGAATTCCAACTGTCAATTCTGAATATCTAATGAACAATTATGGAATTTGTTAGATTTCAAAAAATATATAAATGTATGTTTTGATTTCATTTTTGTTTCATCACGTTTTGTATCTATGTGGATGATGTATGGTGTAGTTTTCAACCAAGTGTTTGAATCCCAATTGTACTTCTATGATATATGTAAATTTTGCTGGTTGAAAGCATTGCAAGTGTTCACCTGTCCAAAAATATTAATTAATATGAGGATTTAAGCCTTTTTTTCTTTTTATCTTAGTAATGAACCTTTTTTTTTTAATGCAACACCCAAAATTTCCCATTATGTTTAGTTAGTCAGTCACAATCCATCAGTAAGATAAGTTATGGAAGAATATACCATGGGGGACATCCAGGGTGTCTGTAAATTAGAAACTTCAGCCTCTTGGTGTTTGAAGAGAATTAAAAGCTAAATGTTGTTGAATAATTAACCCAGTGGGTGTAATCAACACTGTCAACTACCCCACATAGCCAGGTACTCCAATTTGAAAAGTTTTTCAGAAAAGTTTGGTAAACAAAGAAAATTTATTTAAAGGAAAAAACACAAATTCAATTGCTCCTCTAAGCAGATTGATTACAACATCATACATACTTAAAAAGAAAACTTAATTAACGGACTACATAAATGTGGTATAGAAACACAAATTAAGACATGTACAGCACATTTCTATGATTAAAAATTTAATCATTTTCCTCTTCACCTTTCAGTGTCATTCAAGACACCAGCACCAGGGTCCTACTCCCCAGAGAAGGTCCACCCTCAAGGAGAGAGATATGCCCCAGCATGGTCATGTGGCTCGCGAACAAGATACAGAAAACGTAAGAGAGCAGTGAGATGTTAAGTGAAAGCCTGCATGGCTACCAAATAACAAACTCTTATCAATTTGTTAAGGAAATTTACATCTTGTCTATCTGTTCATTCTCCCATGGTAAAATTATTAGACCAGGTACTAATAACTGGTTAACTTTTGATTTTTCTTGGGGGGACTTGGCCTTTTTTTAATTCACCTTTTCTTCCTCTGAGCCCAAACTTAGCAAATGTGGTTTGCTTTGCCTTCTGGGTTCACATTTGACACTTTTAGAATCAACACTTGGGAAACTCCTGCAATTTTTTCGAGTCATACTAACTGTTTTTTGTCTTTTATCCCTTTAGGGGACTCCACCCCATCACCCAACTCTTACTCGTTGCCAACGCAACTTGGATCAAAGATCCCAAACAAATTCTCATCAGCATCATACTCTATGACTGGAAGAGCCAAGGCAGGTGGATTTGCTGAGGATCTTGCTAAGACCCCTGGGCCTGGAAATTATCGCACAGTTGATCCAATTATCTACAAAAAGAGAGACCCAGCTTATTCCATGAATGCTAGAAGTTACATGCCAGGAGGTAAGTACTTCAAGTGTAATCAATATCATCTTGTGCAGTAGACTAGGAGAAGTCCCTTTTTTTTGGCTAAGTCCATCGCGCCAGGAAAAAAAAAATCAGAGTAAACAAATTGATGTTAGCGTGCTGCAGGGATTTCTTGTGGTGATGCTGATGCACCCAGAAGCTCCATTTCCCACTGTGTGCTTACTACAATTTTTTTTTCATGAATTTTTTTATGCAGCTTCTTAAATTACCTAGTAATTGATTTCAAATGTGAATTACAATTTTTCAGTGAAATTGTTTCTCAAAGAGATTGACACCCAATTTATGATATGAAATTATCCCCTTTCTTTTACTGTTAACCGCCTCCCGGTTAGGTCATTGGATAGAGTGCTGGACTGTTGTGCAGGAGGTCGAGGGTTCGAGCCCTGGCCGAACCAACACTCAAGGTCTTAAAATAATTGAGAAGAATTTGCTACCTTTCTATAACATCAAGAAATGGTTAGATATTCTAGTCTTCTCGGATAGGGACGAATAAATGGAGGTCCCATCTCCAGCAGGGTTGGGGTAGGAGACGTTAATTTCCCACACACGAGATTACTGTGTGATGGATGTCCTTCCCTGGGGTGGGATGGGTGGGAAGGTGAGGTCGATAGACTGAAGCGGCTGCCAGAGGCGCCTGATATGCTGACGTCTGTTCTCAACCTTACACTGCACCCGTAATTCAGCCTCTGGGCTGCAAGTGGTCAGATATAAACTATATTTTATTTTATATTTACATATGAGCAGCTAGTTTTACAAAGATGAAGTTTCTTACAACATCTTCCTGTACCATTATCAAAAAATAATAATAATAATAATAGAAAAGATATGAAGAACAACATAACTTGCACTCCCTTTCTCTGCAGATTCTACTCAAAAGCCTGGACCGGGAGCCCACAGCCCTGAGAAGGTGTACATGAACAAACCCGCTGCTCCAAAATTCTCACTTGGAATCCGTCACAGTGAATTTATAACACCTCTTATCATTGATGTTACAGACTAAATGTTTACCTCTTATTCCCAGTTCAGTTTTTATTCTTTTCCCCTTTCTTTTACTGTTATTTAGCCTCAAACAAAACTGAATTCTTTTTTATCAATTCAAGTTTGAAAAAATTTTTTTGATCCTTTTTTTTTTCTTTTTGTTAGGCCATAAGTTTTTAAATCCCATTGAGGAGTTGCAGTAAATCCCAGACTTTTGATCTGTATACTGCTAAATTAAATTCATCATAAAATATACATTTGGAATTTAATTTGGATCAGGATTTTCATTTTACAAATGTATTGCCTCAAGATTTTAAAAAACAACAGTGAAGATAATAACTGCAAATCATTTTCGTTGTGTTACTAACACTGGCCTCTTTCATTTTACATCTCCTACACAACAATTGAATGTTCCAAAAATCATATAGTTATTACTTAAAGGAGTGCTATGCCCTAACAATTTGCTGCCTGTAATTGATGCTTGTGAAGTAAGAGATTTCCTGCTTTATTTACCTACTATGTAAATTTGTTAATAAAAAAAGTGAAATTATTGTCATGAGTTCTGTTTATTTGTACTTCAGTTTTATAGAAGGAACAGTACTGAGTCCCCTTTACAACTCAAACCATTGCTGCTTTGAGCTTGATTGTGCTGACTTGATTGCAAAAACTTATTAACAGCCATACTTTGCCTTTCTTCCAATCACTTTTGCTCAACCCCTTTTAAGTATTTGAGCAAAGATATTAAAAACAGTTTTCACTTTGCCATAAAGGTTCAAGTTAGTGCACATTTAAGGTATGCAAATAAAAATACAATGACAGGATAAAGGAGTTCAGGAGGGCACCCAAGTCATCACTTTCCTGTCACAACATAAGGAAGCCTTAATCCAATCAGAGGACCTGCCATTTATTAAAGGAGAGGGCAACTACTGAAATTTGTTTTTTACCAGGTGCAGTTGTAGTATGCCCAACCCTAATTTCTTGGAAAAAAACTCTTATGTGTAACACCCCCCCCCCCCATCATATGATCCAAAAAAAATATATGGCCCTGCCCAAAGCTTTATATCAATTTTTGTGACCCTCCTCTCTTTGGCTGCAAATAATGTGATGCCCCCCCTACATATTTGCACCAGACCTTCACACCCTCTGTTTAATGACAGGCTCATTAAAAAAGAGAGAGATGCTACAAGCAGTCATCATACAATGAGACTGCAACAATTTATTAACTAAACTATATATGCATGACCAATATTAGCACATAAGCCTGAAGTAGCCACAGGGAGTATTGATTGATGATCTAACCTCACTGAGAAGTTTGTCCGATTTGTAGTAATTCTTACACTGAAAAGAAAATGTACACAATTCTACACAAGAAATTAGACATGCGATACTAGTATGACCTACATCTAAAAGAACAGAACAAAAAAAAAAGAAAAAAAAAAAAAGGTGCCTGCTATCTTCGATATCTATATCTCTTAAAATGAAACCAGAGTTGGAAAATATTGTTTTGAAATTGGCAGCGAAATCCATGACGATGAGAATACTCCCACTCGCGGTTGACAATCTTGAAAGCGATATCCTAAAATGGAAGAGAAACAAATGTTACATAAAGAGCAGATCATTCAAATTATGAAGTCAACAAAATCACTGGAATCATAAACTTGTTTGCAGAGAAGTCATAAAATACCTCATATGGGGGCCCTGCATGAAACCTTAGAATAGCAAAGTCTTTTGAATCTCCTGGACTTTGTTCCTGGAAAAGAATACATGTACATCTCTATAAATTCAAGTTGTAGCATATTTGAAATGAGAGAAAAAGAAGAATAATCTTTTAACTCCCATGAGTGATCAAGGCAGAATTTCTCCTCACAAACATCAATACAATAGTAGAATAGTAAAGAGAATAAAGAAACAAGAAAATCAGGGGATTATCAGTTGATCCAATACCATATTCTCCAAACTTACTTCTTAAAAATTGTGACAGGTTTGGAGAATATGGTATTGTATCAACTGAAAATCCTCTGATTTACTTGTTTCTAAATGAGATCTTGTGTGATATGAATATCCTCATCATTGTTCTGGAAAGAAACAAGTTCCACCCTTAATAAAAAAAAAAAAAAAATTAACAACTTAGAGAGAATTAAAAAATAATAATAATTAAAAGTGACCCACCAAAAAATATTCTGGTGCTTCTTGTTTATCGATAAGATCAGGATAAAATATCTGTCAGGAAAAAAACCGACTGTTATGTAAAATCAATAACCATCAATGAAATTCACATGGCTGGTTGTTTACTTAAGGCCCAAGACATGGGTTGATTTAAATTAAATAAATGTCCTTCTGCTATAAGCTTTTGGCCTTCTTGACAGTGTTTGCAAAAATAAATGTTCACTCAGATAAAAGGTTCAGCTAAATTGAAGATAGCTTAGAATGAAGTTTTCTTAAAAAACAGATTAACTTTGCTAAAATAACCAGCCCATAGGGATTAACTGTCAATGGATAAAACTAAGAAAAAAATGACAATTTTAGAACTTACATTAAACTTGTATCCTTGTACAATCTTGGGTGGTGGGTTGTCACTATCATAATGCGTCTGATTGTATTTATTCCATTCATATCCCTGTAAAAAAGCAGTGATGAAATCTTATTCTAGAACAACTGATCAAAAGTCAGCACTCCACTGGGGTTTCATTAACGTTTTAAGCAAGAGGGCTACTGGTTTTCAAAGGTAGGCAAAACTTTTTGAACTGTACTTCTTCACAATGATAAACTTTCCTCCAGATGGTCAAACCAGGTGGGCAAAACTGTCCTAACAACCGGTCAATTTACCCGGTGCCCAGCCCTTAATGAAACCCCTGACTCCAGCTGAGTGTCCCAACTGCAGCAGCTTAACATAATCATACTTAGTCTTAATGCAAGAAACTGACTACGAATACATGCATTGTCATTCTCCCAAGATCACATGCCAGCCCATTGCAGGTTACCCCCTGGTACACCCCCGCATTTCACCAGGCTTCCCTGACAGTTCAGTGTTACATGCACTAATTTCAATTCAAGGGTGGATTAAAGCACTGTGAGAGTGAAGTGTCTTGTACAATAACACAACACATTGACCCTGCCACTGCTCACAGTTGAAAAACACTACCCAGAGTCCAATGCTCTGACTACTACGCAACTGCATCACCAATGAGGAGACATACCGTACAGTATTTAATAACACTTATGCAAAACAATGCATTTTTGATAATTATTATAAAATAAAAACAAGTAATAATTAACATAAAAGAAAAAAATTACACTAAGTCTTGAAACCTACAGTGTGAACTCTGTTAAAGAATCTTGGTTTTCTGGGTCTGTACTTGTCTGACCATAGGTAAGTCTGTGGGAAAAAAAAAAAAAAAAACAATCTGTCAAAGTCATCAGTGTGCTCAGGAGAAATCTGAAACAGGGCTCTCCATCACAAATTAAAACACACTAAATCTACAGGTACACGTGCATCTCTAACCTTTTGCATGACGGGAACAGGTACATTAAATGATTCTTCATCCGCTGCCATGCCTTTACTAGCTTCTGCAGCAACCATTCCTGCTGACGCTGCACTCTTGTCCTTTACCAAGTAAAAGAAATTAATTCTTTGTGCCTTCAATTTGTAACTGTACTAAATAAATGAACTTCTAAATGTATTTTCAAACTAGTACAGATCAGCAGGATCAAACACCTTTTGGACAGGAAAACTCTCTTACTTTTGATGAACGCTTTTGTTTTTAGTACAATGTATTATTGTTCAACTGTATGGGCCAACACTTGTCAAAGAAATATAAACAAGCTTCAGCTAGTACAAAACTTCGCTGCCCGTATTGTATTAGGTCTTAAGAAATTTGACCACATCTCCCAAGGCATAAAATCTCTTAATTGGCTCACTGTTAAGAAGAGACTTTATTTCAATGATGCTATAATGGTATTTAAATGTGTAAATAATTTAGTTCCTGAATATCTGGCTAACACGTTTGTCCCACGATCTCGTATTCACAGTAGGGTAACAAGATCATGTAATCTGCTCAGCATCCCACGATGCCGCCTGTCCTCTGGGCAACGTGCATTCACGTATTGCGGATGCAAATTGTGTAATAACCGCCCAAAGGACTTAAAAGCAGCTAAGAATGTAAACGCCTTTAAGTTCCGCCTACTGAATGCGCTCCTTAATGGAAATGTTGCGCAAAGATGAATCGTTTCTATTTCCTATTCCTGTGTAATTTTTGTATTAGTTCACTAGTGTTTTTAACGTGTACTGGCCTTTTATATTTATATTGTATTAGCTTTAGATTTACTTATATATACATATAATGTTACCAAATAAATGTTACTATAATATTACAATAATTTAATGTAGGCTTTGTAACTGAAAAACCCAGCTTGGGAGTTGCAATAAATGTATGTATGTATGTATATGTAACTGTACACTGAAACAGTAAAATCTCTCAACTGGAAATTAATAGGAATCTAATAAATATATAAAAATTAACTTAAAAAGCAAAAATTATCTAGGAATTAAGCACTGACTGGAAGGATTTAGATGCTCACCACATCAGCTGTTCCACCACTCAAGACTTCTTGTCTCAATATGTCCTATAAGGCAAAGTGATGTGTTACTCAACTAAATTACAAAAAACAATAAGTATAATTATAATAGATATCATAGTGAGGGTGAAAGAAATAATAATTATAATAATAATGATAATAACAATGATTATAATAATAATCAAGGCTTTAATGTACGGTAGAAAACATCCATTTCCTGGAGTTACCATTATACTAAGTGCTGTGTCTGATTGAAAAAGAATTAGGGAAGAACTTAGGGAACTTAACTTAGGGAAGAGTTAAATTTAAAACCACATGACTATAATACTGGGCATGAATATAGTGCAAGCTTTAAAAATGTCATGGGCAAAACAAACATGGCAGCTTGATGTGATCACATGATTATCATCAAAAAAGGAGTATTAAAAAAACAGTGGGAAACAAAACAGTTTTCATGTGATGGACTCTAGGGTTTCCAGCAGCTATACCAATAATATCCATAGGCTTCTGAAGGCCTTCAACACCTGATAAAGAGGTCAACAAAACAAAACAAATATCTCACGTGAAACAAAATAATTTAAAAAGTTCTGAGATACAGCCTGTACTCACAAGTTGCTCCCAATCCTCTGCTGGATCAACAGTCATACCCTGGACAGTTGATGAGAAAGAATTCAGCTCTAACTATCTAAATAAATTTATGTAGATCAGGCTCTGGTTGTTCAAAGGCCGGATAATGCTATCCACTGGATAAATTGCTATCCATCGGATAAGTGTTACCAAAACGTACAGCGCCATCCACCGGATAGAGATTTATCCAGTGTATAGCTTTATCCATCCTTCGAACAACCGGGGCCAGGCCATTTAAATCCAGGCAGAGAATTACCAAATTGAGGTTACATGATTTACAAGACATTACACTGGGCATAAAATATTAGTCACCTCTTCAACATCTTGAAACTTCAACAATCTGGGACTGTAATTGCCTGCATCATACGCTGTATAACCTAAAGGTGGAGAAAATCCCCCAGATTAGCTTTACACAGACAGGACTAACAAAATTTAATGTACTGTTAATGACAGCCTAAGAACTTTATTACATCCAATACATATATCTTATTAACCAAGCGCGAGGGCCGTACTGGGAGAATATCGGCCTGAGGTCTTGACAGTACGGACCGAGCACAGTGAGGTCCGTACAAAAAAGAGCGAGGGCCGATATTCTTCCAGTACGGTCCCAAGCAAGCTTGGTTAATAAGAGATTTATTATACGACTGAAGTTCAAAGGGACACAAGTGCGGTATCATTCGAGACCACTCGGGACAGTGCCCGGTCCAATACTGAGAGAATATTGACCGGCAGTAGAGCATTTTGATTGGTGGATTTTAGTTATTGGCCCTCTGACTGCCCGAGTCGTGTAATAATAATTAAAATTAAACCTTGAGTACCTTCCTCAGTAAGATCCAGTTCTGTGTAAACACTTGCGTCCGTCTCTGCCCCTCCAGTTGCTGCAACTTTCTCTTGTTCTTCAGATTCTTTTGCTTCACTGCCATGGTCAGGGTTTTCACTGGGCTCTGTATTAGAGTCTGATTTGTTATCTCTTTCTTCATCATCAGACCCTTGTTCTGACTCAGAGCTTTCATCTTTTGACTGGCTGGCCATCTCTGATTTCTGGCAAGAATAGAGAATGGCAGAGACATTTTATGAAATTATTACTGTTCAGTAAAAAAATTGTCAAATATCTAATGAAAAAATTTTGTGGGTGGTATGATGCACAGTTTCTTCTCTCAAGATTCATTTCGCAAATGGGACTTTGAGCACCATGTTTCACAAGTTTGCTGGAAATTTTCGAAAGATGAGTCTCTTGGCAGAGATGAAACGTACACTGCTTCATGTCAAGAATGAAATTTTTTCACAAGTATAAAATCATTACTTACAAAATAGATGTCCAGTATTCAGATTTTAAAAGGAAATACTCTCACACTCCTTGGCTCAACAATTTTAGCTAAGTTTATCTACCAATAAGAAACATGCGCCTGGCCATTACTCCTCAAAAGTTTCACTTGCCACATGACATTTTTATATGATTGTGTTAAGTGCATAGATGCTAAATTTCCTGACTGGCCTCTGGCAATGCAATCAAGTGACAAGATGCGATGGAAGCAAGACTAGTTTCACAGAACACAGCCTGACAAGAACAGGAAGCACCCTTTGATCATTAGAAACCTCATTTAACCTGTTTTTTCAGTTCTTCAAGCTTTTTCCTTAACATTGTTTGATGAAATTCTCTCAGCCTTGCTCTTGCTATATGTGCCTTTAGCTGATGCTGCAAAGTTTCCCAATATCCTATGAGTAAAAGAGACAAATACTGTGTTTCATTTTTCAATACTTTTACTGCTCCCAGTTTGAAAGTTTCCCTTTGCTGCCATTTCCTGGGCTTGTAACGAGGCATTTTCCCTCTCTTTCACAAGCTCAAAGAATGTGCATAAAGGAGACATACATCGACCAACAATTTTCAAATCAGTGTCAATCAATCAGTGTCAGTCAATCATTATCAATCTATCAGTGTCCATTATCAGTGTCAATCAATTTGGGAATGCTATGGTTTTCCTTCACTTTGCCCTGTGATTGGTCAATAAAACTTAAGCCACACCCTTAACCAATAGGGAAATGGTCACTCCCATTTTCTGATGCTTCAGAGAAGGATTTACTTGGCTCTGCGTGATATTTCTTTGCTGTGATTGGTTGCAGTGAAAACTTTGGATTTGATTTACAACTACCAAAAGTTAACTTGCCAAGATGTCATTATTTCATACCTAATTTTTACAGAATCTAGAAGATGCATAAAAGAGTTATACCTATATCCACTGCATCTCCACTTGCTATCTTTTGGTTAATCTGCTTTTGTAATGCCAAAAGTTGACTGTACGTTTTTCCACTAAAAATGTTTGTTACATCTTTATTGACAGAGGCATTTATACTCTCTCGTCGATCCATATGCTCTACAAAGAGAATGAAAAGATACATTAACAGCAAAAACTATTTCTAAATCAAAGCCATACCACCAGAGGAGTTTTGAAATGAATAGAACTGATGCATTAATTTTTTTTTCTTAAATTTCACAACTTCCAGTAAAATTGTACTGTAAGTGCTATCTAATGGCTATACTTAAGAAGTACATTTAAAAATTAAAAAAAATTTTTAATGCCAAATGTATGAAACAAACACTGTTAAGAATTTTCCTAAATGAATTTAAAAATGAGTGTGATTTTCACTTACCACTGTACCTTGGATCTTCTTTCTTTAATTTTTGAAGCTCATCTCTACAAACAACTGTCATGTCCTACAACAAGTTAACACAACATGTAGCTCACTGATTTGACATTCCTGTAACCTCAAAAAAAAGGAATGTTGTACTCTCAAGTAATGAAAGCTTAGAGAAAATTGAAAAAAATAATAATAAAAGTACTTTGTTAGGAATTTTACCTTCCAAAATTCTGCATTTTTCCCCTCTTCTAACTCCATGTACACCTTAATATCTACCATCAAGTCTTCCAGATCATCTATTGCTAATCCCTGCAAAAGCACAATTTAAGGCATTCATTAGATACTGAATTTTCACATGGTCTGGAAATGCAATTCCTGGAAAACATAATACATTTATTTTACTACACTCAAAGGGCTCAGCACCAATGGTAGCCCACTAGCCACAGACTAGTAGAAATTCAGGTTTGGCTCGTGGTTTTTTATTTCCACTAACCAGTTTGGCTGGTAAACAAACTGAAATTGTGTTAACATCTAAGATGTCACTAGCCACTTGGCTAGTCAGCTGAAAAGTTAGTGTCAAGCCCTGCACTCAGATTTCGAAAGGAAAAGTTAGGAACGTTGAATGTTAAATATTTCATTTGAATCAGCTGGTCATCCTAAGCCACAAAGAAAATAAAAAGTAAAGTTAATACTATATCAAGGTTTCAAGAGGGTTCAATACTGTAGGTTTTGGCAACCTTGAAAAATTCAAAGCCACAGTTTCTGTTCAAAGAAGGTTTGACATCAACTACCTCTTGTAAAATCATAATCATTATAATTTGTATACTGTCATTTCACATTATGTTTGAGTATTGCCATGCTTGAACTTTACAGAACTTTATAATTATTATTTAATAACCAATTTGAAAAAAAATGTTTTCTTATCATGATATTCAAGGCATGTACCAGGCACAGAGCAGATGTTGAATGTTGCATGAGAATACTTTGGTACCATTTCTCTTCAAATCAACAGACTATCAAAATCAGTTTAACTACAGAGAAAATTAAACACATCATTGTCATCAACATTGCTTACCACTAAAATTGTGTAAGGTTCATGCATTTGAATTTCCAAGTCATTATTGTCTGTACTGACATATTGTGCCAGTAGATCAATGGGTTTAGCTGAAAAATAAGACAAAAGAAGCCATGCAATCAACAAGCAGAGTGTTTTTCTGTTTCATGGGAGTCAGGCTTAATGCCTGATTTCAATCAGAACCACTTGTCAGCCAGGCAATTATATAGATCATTTCACTACCCACCATTTAATTAAGATGGTTTTGAAATGACTGGCACAAAGGGAAACTAAGGGATGAGTAGCTCTGTCACTTTTTTACTACAAATAGTGTGCCATTGAACTTTGTCATTTGTTACCAGTGAGAACAATAATTATTTCAAACAAGCAAACAGTTTACATCAGCCTCCTAGCTGCCTCAACTAATTTCCTTAACCCATTTATTATAATTGTTACAGTAACCAGTTCTCCCTTTTTATTTTCATTTTTTATTTTTTTTTCACTCAGTGTAAAGATTACATTTGATACCTTGGTGCATGGGCTTAATTCTATGTATCCAAAATTCACTCTTTTTAGTTGCAGCCCACAGCTTTGTTAAGTGTTTTTTTCACACAAAATAAAATTAAATATAATAATTTGCTTTTCACATGAAATAATATGATTACATATACAGTACCTCTTCCATCCTGAATGCGAATTTTTGAGCGTAGCTTTGCTTGTTCCAAGTGAAACTGTAATTTTTAAATACAACACAGAAAATAAACAAAAGTCAGCAGATCATGAAATTAAATTGCCTTTTGAACAAGAGCACCTTGATTTTGTGCGAAGCATTTTTTCCTCTTAAGTGGTCATAAATGAGCCAGGAATAAAGGTATTAGTTGCCTACATTAGTTCCTTAACTATATTATGAATTTTCATTTTCACAGTTAAATAGGTAAAAAATAAATAGTAGTTGTATGAGGTAGTATTAAGTATCATTTATTTTAACATTTAATATACAAAAACTACCTGTATATCAATTAGCATAGAACAAAGAACAAATCAAATATATTCCATATTTATCATTTCAATCATATTACATGTAGTTGAGGAGGTGCACTGATAATTATGACAAGTGAACACCTGTTGTTCTGACAGAAAAAAAAAGTGACTATGTCCTTTCTGGGGCTATTACTTCAAACCTGCAAAAGGCATTATTCAGACAAGTATTCCTGATAGAATCGCATCACTGAATAAAATCTCGCATTCTGATTGGTTAACGAAGCGAGGTATTTAGCGTGGAATTACGAGTTGAAAACGAGGCTAAGTGATATTGTTTCGCATCTACATGAACATAACAATTTTAAGTACTGCTGTTTCCTTTTTTTTACTCATTTTTATTCAGTTATACGATTCAAGGAAAATCCATTACTTCACTCGTGAATTCCGCATTAAATTGCACTTGAAAACCAATATCGCACTCATTGCTTTGCAATTCGTACGATATCAGTTTTCACAAGCAATTTAATGCGGAATTCCCTTGTCAAGTAATGAATTTTCTATAATACTAACACTCACACAATGTAATCGCATTTCAATTGATATGAAATACCTTATCCTCTTGCTCTTCCCACTCCTTAAAAGACATTGCCTCTTTATCCCTTTGAAGGGTTTCCTAAAAAATGTGTTTGAATCAAAAAGGAATGTTTCAATAGTATAAAAATGCATATTAACCACAGTAACTGGTACATTGTGTATGTGCATCTGTTATGATTCAATCACTCACTCAGGTAATTCTAAAGAATTACTAAGAAAATCATGGGTTTTGCCATCGTCGCTAAATGATCATCTTTAGTTACCCTTTCTTCTTCTCTCATCTGCTTTTCATGTTCCCTTTCCTAGAGATCGAGGACAAGACAAAAATATTATTGACAGAAGCTTCCTGCTTCTTTCGTTACCCTGTTTTTCTATACTGAAAAGAAGTCCAGAATCTCTGGTTATCACATAATTATTTGTAGCTTGGTACATGTACAATCAGTCCCATACACTTGTTCAGTTTGTTAACAGTCTTTTTAAAAATACAATGTAATAAATAAATGAAACTTACAATCCTTCGCTTCTTCACTTTTTCCAATTCTCTCTACAAAACAATTGAAATAGAGTTCACTTCAGTTGATAGATAGCATCAAAGCAAAAAAAAAACAAATGTAAAGTTGCTACGTACAGGGGTTTCATTAATGTTTTCTGCAGGAGGGCAACTCGTTTTCACAGGCGGGCAAACCTCTTTGAACTGAACTTCTTTATAAGATAAACTTTCCTCCAGACCGTCAAATCAGGTGGGCAAAACCGTCTTCACAACTGGTCAATTTGCCCGGTGCCTGGCCCTTAATGAAACCCCTGTAAGTATATATTAAAAATATTTTTTCCTGACTTATCCAAAATACATTTAATACCTTGTTAAAGGTTGATAATTTCTCCAATTGCTAATACATGCAGTTACGACAGTGTGACAGTTAAAACTAAAACAACCTTACAGAGTTAGTAGTTCAACCAGACAGTATTGGTTAGATTTGTTTTCAGCACAGAAACAAACCAAGTAGAAAACTGAATGGAGAGGGATGCTCCCTAACCCGTACATGCTGTATACTGTTTACTGTATGATGTAAAATGTAAATGCACACAACTTGCATACGTGGACAGCATGTACGAGCAAGTTTTTTTGGAAGCACTTTTTTCTGATCTTTTACCTTTACTTGAGTTTTAGATAGTTCCATCATTCAAATTGTTAATAGGGTGATAAGCTGACTCTTTCTTTTGTGATCTCAAGTGCAGTACAGGGTTATATTATCCAACCGTGCTTCATAGAGTACAAATAATGTGCAAAACAAGTACAAATATCATGGGATATTCATACTCCAGAAATATCTCTGAAACTCACCCGCACTGGAATTAAAATTTGGCATGTTGGATAATAAATCTCTCATTAGACATTTTGTTGTGTAGTATCCCTGAGTATTTTTACTTGTATTTTGACTCACTGCCCTACAGGCTCATCAAAATACCATACAAAATACTCAGCAATACTACACAACAAAATGTCCATTAATAAGATATGTTTATCTTTTTATTTTCATTTACTGAGAGACAAGAGAGGGTTTAAGTGCTAAACCAACATTACCTACAAATTACAACTTATCATCCAGGTGCAGAATTGATCTACTTTCAACATTTAAAATGATGCCATATACTTCTTAAAGTACACTATTTGGTTCCTTAAACTGAACTGTATTTCTAGAATGGAACCATTCACAGTCTTTCGGCCAAGTATGGCATTGTTACCTTGGCTTCTTGTTGCCTTAGTTTTTCTCTTCTTCTCTGTTCTTCTTCTTTTAAATGCTGTTCTCCATCCCTTTCTCTCTTCTGTAAATTAAACAGGTTACATGTAATGAAAACAGTGGCTTTATGGTTGGTGCACTGGAGTCCATATAATAAGGTTTGTAATGACTTGGGTACAACATAATTTATATATAATAATGTTGTGTTCTGACCCTACAGTACACCCTTACAGTGGGTTTCTCCAGCCAAACTTTTCAGAGAAAGTTGACAAATTGCTTTTTGTTCATACCAGGACCCAAAATAACAAAAACTCCTTTGTCCTCCTTTGACACTGAGGCAAATTATGGTTAGCAGCAGAAACCATTATTCACCAATTTAAAAACTACCAGCACATATGCATTATAACTGTAGAGTGCACGCTAACAATATAAAATCAATTTGGTAGCATAACATGCAACTACACTATCCTCCAAAAGAATCCCTTAACAGTATAGGTAATTGCATGGGGCCAAGTAAAATTAAGGATTGATATCCCGCGTGTTTTTGGAAGTTGCTGAAATTGCCCGAGTCGCACAGTGATGAGGGCAATTTCTGCAACTCCCAAAAACACAAGTGATATTAATCCTTAATTTTACCAGGAACCATGTGATTACTTGTTTATAATATAGGGGGCAAAATGTTTTCTTACTGATCTCACGCAAAACGGGACACCATTGTTACAAAACAAACAGAAATTTCTTTACCTTGGCAGCCATTGCTAATCATTTTCAAGTAATTTTGCCTGGGGCAATTACAAAAATTAAGAAAAAATGCCCTCTGTCTTGACCAATCACAATTCAGTAATTTTGCCCCTTATATGATAACAAGTATACTTATAGATTAAAGTGTAGATGTGTAGAAAAATTAGTAAAATACCTTTTGCCACACAAAATTTTCAAGTAAATGAGCATCTCCGAATGGATTATCAGTGTTGGTATATCCCTGAAAATAAAAACAATAAAAGTTTAATTACAACTAAACAGGTAAGAACAATCAAATGACACATGAAACTTCCTGTTCAAAACATCCCAATTTTAACTATACAAAATGTATATACACCACTTTAGTTAATTAGATTTTGTTTGTGTTGTTTTGTTTGTTTGTTTGTTTGTTTTTTTTTGCATTTGTAAATATTTTTGTTCTCTCTACATATTTATCAACAACCTAATCCTTTTGAAAGTGTGACATTGGTTAGTGTATCATTGTCATTTTCAGGAATTTTCATCCAGGACATGGTGAGCATGTGGTCTAAAGCAAAAAAAAAAAGGGCCAAAATTGCCTGATAAGTAGCAACAATTGTTGATTCTCTTACCAAATATTCCTCATCCCATCCCATTTCTTTCTTTTTCTTTTTCTCTTTTGCTTCCTGTTGGGATAAATAATAATAATAATTTAAGTACATGTATCTGTATATAATCTCTCAAACATGAAGTATTACTCAATACGAAAAAGGGAAAGTCACATGTTGTAAGTACCCTTTTACTAAAATCTCTTTCAGAGAAATAATCACAATTGTATAAAGACAGTACTTTACCTTTTTGGCAAGTCTCCTTGCTCGTTTCTCCTCAGGTGTTTCAAGTGCTTTCAAAAGTTCTTTTTCTTTCCTTCAAATACAAGCACATGTTCCACATCAATAAAATTAATAAAGCCCTGCTTTAACCCTTTGTCCTCTGAGAATGACTGGTATCTAATTTCTCCTTTCAAGATCACCCCTGAATCAAACATTTAGGTTATGAGAATACAGGAAATGATCACCACTTAAAGAAACTCTTGATTGTGAAACAAATTCTCCTCGTCTAAGAGGAAAGGTACTGAGAATGGTACAGAGAATATGCTTTTTGATGATGGGGACTACAGAGTTACATGGAATAGGACAACAAAAGGAAGGAATACAATGGATATTCTACTGAGCACTAGGCCAACCTGGTTCAGCTTGTAGGGAAACTTTGAAGAACTAGAAATGGCACAATAGGTTAGGCTCGATCTGCTGCGATCTAATGGAATTCATAGAAGTGGCCTTGTACCATGTATCTATGTTCTTCTAAAAAAAAAGCTGTTACATTTGTGCAATCATTAAACCTTAAACCTACTTTTTGTTTCGTTTCTCCTCTTCTCTGTTCACAGTCTTCTTTTTCTCTACAATATTTTCCCGCATACGATCTGCTGGTGAAGATGAGCGATCTTTGTGCCTGCGTCGTGGAGACCGCGAATGCGAACGGCTTCTACGTTTTCGACCAGGAGAATGAGATCTGCTCCTGCTTCGACGCCTGTGCTTCTTCCTCTCACTACCAGGCATGCTTGCTCTGATTTGAAAGAAGAAAAAAAAAACACCCTTTTACTCAATCTTCAAGAAGTCCGCCATAATGTTTTCCAAACGTCAGAGTGAACTGGTTCAGCAGTGTTAGCCAACTCGAACGTACTACTTTGTATAACAATAATGGTTCTTTCTCAAGATGGCGGCCTTCAGACGTTTCAGGTCAAGAAATATCATCTTGTCGGGTGTGGTATTTTTCACTTAAAAATAATTATTTTGTAACATATTGATATGTTTTTTTAAATATCCAGTCAGCAGGTCCGATTTTAAAAGAAAACCTCCCATCACTTTGCCCTTATTTTACCCCAGGCTCATTTGAGTCCTGTTATGGATCGACAACTTGTGCTTAGCTAATACCGTCGGTGCCATGGTACAAGGAGTTGAGCTCTTGTCAGAGACGCCAGATTTCGCTCTACTAAAAGCCAGCCACTTTTCTTCACAAACTCCGATCACATGCTAACATGATGCGAAATGTTGCACATGACATCTAATTAATATGATTTTCTTTGTGTAAAAGTGCACTGAATATATCCAGTGTTTCTACAAGCGTGAAGTCGCTGGAAATGTCGAATTAAGTCTTTATTTAATCCTTTGATCCCTAAGAGGGACTAACATCTAATTTCTCCTTACAATCTCACCCCTGAATCTAAGTTAAGGTACCAAGAGTAAAGGTAATGATCACCAAATAAAGGAACTGATTGTTAAACAGATTCTCCATGTCAGCACCTTAGGAAATGTATAGAGAATAGTGTGGAGAATATGCATACTGATGTTAGGGTGAAAAGATCCTTAGGTAATGTATAGACAACAGTGTGGAGAATGTGCATACTGATGTTAGGGTGAAAAGATCCTTAGGTAATGTATAGAGAACAGTATGGAGAATATGCATACTGATGTTAGGGTGAAAAGATCCTTAAGTAATGTATAGAGAACAGTGTGGAGAATATGCATACTGATGTTACGATGTAAAGGGTTTAGTCCTCTCTCTTTCTGGGAGAGAACAATTGCCGTCACCCTGGCAAAAGGAATTGGTGAATCAACCCACTGAAAGGCATTTTTGTCTTTTCTAGATCCTTCAAGGCAGGTGATTAAAAATGGAAGGTGTGGTCAGATTTTCTCAAGAAACAAAGCTGTTAGGGTAATAATTCATTTATCCTGAAAAATGGGGGTTTTTGTGACAGAAATAAACTATTTTTTGGGTTCCTGTGAGGTATATACTAATAAAAAATCGTCTACAAGGAATTGTTTTAAATTAGTTTATGCTAAGACAGGATAGCATTAAAGATGTGCTCTGATGAGCTTACCTGACTCAGAATATCATTTGCCATTCACTTCCAAGCATTGCATGTGAGATATTCTAATTATAAATACAGGTAAATTAGTTAAAATCATCTTTTTATACCATAATTATCATCTCAGCTTGGTAAACACTCACCACCAGCCACTTCCACCTTGTTGGTGAATAATTATTTATATTTTGGCAATTCTTCTCCAGTGTCACACTTATCAAACCCAAGTTATATCTTTCCATTCAAATTTCTTTTTTCCTTGATGGAAACAAGGTAGCAATAGCAATTTTTATTCAAATCAAGCTGCCTTGCTATAGGGAGATGTTATAACTAGCATCTGTACATGGAGCAGGTTGTTTCAGCATTCACCATTATTAAAGTCGATTTTTCTTGACAGTAATGGCCTTTGGTGTTTATATAGTAAACAAAATAATACATAGTTGCTGGTGGATACGGAATTTATCTTCTTGTTTTTAAATCGAAGAGGAATCCATATATACGCCATCTATATCTACATAGGGAGTGCTGAACAGACTTTTGAGTGAATCTGCTACCAATGAAAAACCAAATGATCATGTGGATGCAGCACAACTGCCAGATGGTGGGATCAGTGATAGAGGATCAGTTGTTGATCTTGGAGAGCTGCCTCCTGTAAGTGCAAAGTAATATGTAATAACCCCAAAAGTAACTTAAAACTCACACAAGAGTTAAAGGTGATACACGGCTTCCATACAATTCATTGTGATAGACAGGGTAGCCTGGGGCTTGACACTACCTTTACAACTTACTAGCCAAGTGGCTAGTGACATCTTAGATGTTACAATAATTTCAGTTTGTTTACTAACCAAACTGGTTAGTGGAAATCAAAAAGCACCTGCCCAAGCTGAATTTAGAACTACTAGTCTGTGGCCAGTGGGTTACCATTACTGTCAAGCCCTGGTAACCTAATGGAGTTCCACACTTTGTACTGTGCATTAATAGAGGTCCAGGTTGGAGACCTGCTTTGCGGGAGGTACTTCCTTGTAATAGGCTAATGGGGATGTGCTGCTGGATGGGGTCGCATTTTCATGACTTGATTGCACTGCACATCCTCATAACTCTTCTCTGTACATTTATTTGGTATTGCAAAGGAGAATTTGTTAAGTTAACAACAAAGAACTTATCATTAAGTTAATGATCATTTTCTTTATTCTCGTGGCATTAATGCTTGATTCATCAGTGATAGTATGGGGAGAAATTAGATGCTAGAGAGGCTTAGGGGTTACATGGTTAGTTATCTATTAACTGGGATACTGGAAATTTTCCCAACAGATGAGCCTCTATTGTAAGCTGACTTTACTTTGATTACGTTTTTGTATCTGTCATTGAATGTTTTTGATCATTAAAATATTTCACACAGTAAAGCCTTGAAAAACCTTAATTTTGCTTTATCTTAATTTTTTTTTTTTAGACTGATCATGGCCAGTCCAGTATTGGTCAATTTTACACAGTTCCACAGGACATTTCTAGTAGAATTCTCTCTCACTTCTTCACAAAGAGATTTAAAACAGAGGTACATGTAACTCTGAGCATTTTGCATGTTTGTCCAGTTTTTACTTGCTCTTCTAGATTAGTTGAAACCTTTGGATAATTATTTCTTGGTTATCTTTTTGTTTCCAGTGTGAAATGGCAGGCAGCACAAGTTTAATGATAAGAAGCCCAGCTATAGAGGTGATACAGCATCTAAGAGAATTACCAGAAAAAAGACATCCACCACCAAAGTTTATATTCTGTATCCTTTGACAAATCGTGTCATTAACTGTAGTCCCTATGATGTGTGGTCCTTATATGTATGTGTTAATTGTAAGTTACCATTATTTTTAACTCCCAGAAGTGCTTAACATGTAATGTTTTTCTTTTGTATCTAGGAGGGGAGAATTGACAATCAGATCTTGGGAGAGAAAGGATTAAGTTTTGTGCAATTTGTCACTGTACAAACTGTTAATAGAACATAGCTAGCAGAGTCGCGCAATCAAATTCATTCGTCGGATTTGATGCACAATTCCACCGGCTATGTTCTAAAACAATTGGTTCATACTTTCAGTTGTGTGCACTAGCGAGTTATGGAACACGTGAGAAGTTTGGAGAGCACTCGAGAAGCTAGAGTTGCCCTTGGCTATTGCCTCCGGCAACCCTTACGCTTCTTTCGTGCTCTCCAAACTTCCCGCGTGCTCCATAACTCGATAGTGCACGCTAAAGCATGAACCAATTGTTAAATAGTTGTACTTTTTCTTTTAAATTGTGTTTATGGCGGGAGTACATTACTTGTAGATAAGATTTATGTTCTTCGCTTGTTGTCTGTTCTTTCCTTTAACTATGTAACAATAGATGGTGATGATGGACGTGGAAAATCTTTATCGCTTATTCATGTTATCCATTATTGTTTTTCGGCTGATTGGTTCATTCTTCCTGTACCAAGTGGTAAGATTTGAGTCCTTGTGTGTAATTTACCAGTCACAAAAAGTGGTATGGGTAATAAATTGTGTTTATGTACGTTAGGTAGGGCTCTAAACTTCAAACAAGAGTAGTGGCCACCAAACAACTATAATAGGTAGTTTTAGTTGATGAAGTTTTTGGAAAACTATTTTTAAATTACCGGTATACTGAAATATGTTTGAATAATTTATTCAAATAAATGAAACTTTTGAATGTCAACTGAAGTGAGTTAATGATTTAGTTTCCTTGTACGGTTTTCTGATTTAGCAGCAGTTCTGCAGAAGGTGGAACTTACCAATAAGTAAAAGCTCAGTCAAAGCTAAACTGACTGACTAATTGAATATGTTACCAGAGTATGGAGACTAGAGCGAACTTCTGCTAAATCAGAAATTGGTCATTTCTCCTTCCATGTCCCTCTTTGTCTTTCTTTGAGTTCCCTTTTAGTTGTTTTTGTCATGTTTTCCTTTTAAGCTTAAATTTCATAGGAGCAATTAAGAGTTGAATACATTTTAATGAATTTAAGCAGTCCTTCGTGTTCAAACAATCCAGATAAACCAAAAAATTAAAAGCAAGGCTCTAAATTAGTCAATTTCCATCAAGTTTCTCTCGCCATAACTGTATTTGTTCATCAATTAGAAGGTGCAGCTATAATCATGAGCATGATTCTCATTGCAGTATTTAGCTGGGTGCATGGACCATCTGAATTGCAGGTGTCAACATATCATGCAGAGAGATTTGACCAACCAGAGCAGGCAAATGCTCTACTTCAGATGTGCAAATCAATTAATAGCAAGGCCCTTGCTGAGGTATAACAAATGAGAAGGGGACAAGAGCTTTTTTCTCTGCCTCGGCCCCATGTTCTAATTCCCATCTTTTGCACTGATAAAGCAGAGAGATTTACATGTTCTACTTTGAGCGATTTGCTGTTACAGTAGCTTTTTTCAATGACTGCTCAGTACAGGGTGACCGCTTAATTCAGTGCTGCTTACATGTAATAGCTTAATACTGCCGCCCAGTTAGCCCAATGGATAGTGCACTGGACTGTTGTGCGGGAGGTTGAGGGTTCGAGCCCCAGCCAGACCAACACTCAAGGTCTCAAAATAATTGAGAATTTGCTACCTTTCTATAACATCAAGAAATGGATAATTATTCTCGTCTTCCCAGATAGGGACGAATAAATGGAGGTCCCGTCTCCTGCAGGGTTGGGGGTAGGAGACATTAATCTCCCACGCACGAGGTTACTGTGTGATGGATGTCCTCCCCTGGCGTGGGATGGGTGGGTAGAGGTGAGATGGGTGGGATGTACAGGCCCCCATTAAAACCAGCTTCAAGCTGAACTGGGCTGGCCTGTCTAAATATCGCAAATACAATACAATACAATACCATAATACAGGTTCGACTGTAGGTGGTATATATCTCTCTTCTTATCAACTTTCTGCTTGAAAACGTATCGATATTGTTAGGAGAAACTCCTTTTTGATCACTTCTGAGAGAGGGTTTTCAAATCTTTGCACTTATCTAAATGTCATTTCATTATCTCCATTTCAGGTCCAGTTAAATAATCAATATCTTTTCGGCAGGAGAGATATCATAGAAAAAGGAGAACCACTGGGAAAAATTATAGATACGGTAAGAATATTTTTTTTTGTATCAACAAATTGTTATTTCTGCAATTGCTTGAATTGCAGCTCACCAGCGAGAGTCATGGCTTAGTAGTTAAGTTGGTCGTTGCCCGGAACTATAAGAGAGTTTAAGAAAACCCCAACGGTAAAGGCAGCGGGAACGACGCTAAACAAAAGATTTAATAAGCTGAATAACAGCTGTACGTGTGCGTTATAAATCTTTGTAAATTTCTTTGCGTCCACTGCAAAACAACAACATGAAGTGACCAAACTTTGTCTCATCTGGAGAACGTTAACGACGACGGCTAATATTTTCAATTTCTGTTTCTGATTTAACTGTCATAATTGTGTGTCATGCCCCGAATTTTGACCAATTGTGCGCTCATTAGGATATTCGATAGATTCTGATGTTGAATCTATTTACATCTCAGGGTCTTAGGAGAGCAAATTATGCCACTGATGCTGTAGGTGTATTACTGAAAGAAATAAGGGGTAACCCCAGGTTGGTGTGCTATCTGATTTATGCCTCTTCTACTGTTAGCTGGTGTACATGTATCTTTCTGTTAAGCTTTATTTCAACAACAGCAATGAAAATTTTTACATGATAATGTGTTGAAATGGGAAGAATCCTCAAAAAGCGCCGTAGCACCATTCTGGGAGGAAACTCCATTCTATTTTCTTATTTCTACTAAATATACACACATAGAAGAAAAAAAAAAAAACGATCAAAAATGTTTAAACAGAAATTCAAAGAGTTAAAAATGTAGAAACCTTCAACTTTATATCTGTCCGCACGGATGATGCTTCTCGAATATCAAGAGGGAGACAATCCCATTCCCCAACTATTCTCCTTATAAAGCTAAATTTAAATAAATTAGTCCCAGAAAAGCTGGTTAAAAGGTTTGGAGTATCCATACTTCTCAATGCATATCCCCTGTCAACATCCCTAGAGAACTGAACCCTAGAATCAAGGGTCAGGCGAACATGATTATTAACCACCTTATAAAAGAAAACAACATCCGCAATAAATCTCCTATCCTCTAAAGATAACAAGCGGAGTTCACGTAGCCTAACCAAATAATTGTCATCACTTTTAAGAATAAATTTGATTGCCCTTCTTTGAATTGACTCTATACGACTAATGTTACTCTTCGTATAAGGATTCCACACCCTAAAGGCATATTCAACCTTAGGCCTCTCAAGACTACAATACAGAGTCTTAACAGTTGTGACATCATTGACATCCCGACATGTTCTTTTGATATGGCCTAAAATAGTGTTTGCCTTAGCTGTAATATTGGCAATGTGGTACGTAATTCCAAGAGAGAACACCACTAGTTAACAAGCCCAGGTCTCTATGCAAAGAAACCGAATCGAGTTTAGTCCCATCAATATGATAGTCGTAGGTAAAAGGGGGACCTCTTTTTGGTAATTCTCATAACCTTGCATTTACTGGCATTGATCCTCATCTTATTATGTACACATCACTCATTGATCTTATTTAGCTCCTGCTGGAAGCGCTCTTGATCATGAACAGAGTGAATAACCTTATAAAGTTTTCTATCATCAGCATAAAGAACTATCTTATTGCCATCAGAAACCACACCAGGCGAATCATTAATATAAATTATAAAAAACAACGGTCCCAGAATTGATCCTTGGGGTACAACCGATGTAACTGTCAGCCAATCAGAAGTCCCTCCACGTACAACTACCGTCTGTTGTCGGTCTCTCAGATAATGATAATCTTAGAGTATAAGTCGATCGAAAAGTCACGAAGTTTGTTCACTCATGTATGCGTCATTTGGTACCACGTGATGCAGGAGAGAAAAGCTTTTAGGACGAATCTGCTACCAATATTTCCTTCTTCTTCTTTTAGTTTGCGAGTGTTACTTGCTGTGAACCAATTCAATGGATTTTTCTTAAAAACTACATTCAAGGATGCCAAACAAAAATGGGTGAGGTAGATAAGTAACAATGTGGTATAAACACTGCTTAACCATTAAGTGCTATCTCGAGTAACAGCAAGGAACATGGAAGTCATATTTTAAGAACAATGTTCATGACTTTTTGCTCTCGATAATGGAAGCAGAGGACGATTATGTTGAAGTGCCCATTCTTCTACAAAAAATGGCAAATTCTGTATCCTTGAATCAAGGTACTAATAATCGATAGGTTCTGTTAGGAGTAAATTTGATTGTAACACTATTTTGTAAGACTATATATTTTGTAACCCTAGCTTGTTTTTCAGTAATTCTTATTTATCCACATAGCTTACTTAGTTACTTTACAATTATTAGTTAGTTAGTTAGTTAGTTAGGTAGTTAGTTAGTTAGTTACTTTACAATTATTATATTATCTGTTATGACTGCTGTAACCTTAGATGGAGATGGCAAACTGATGTGCGTGGAGTAAATTTGAAGTCAAACATCAAGCCAAATCCCGACACCAACCAAACAGAGGCATCCGTTTAGTAATCTCTTGCCCTCTGCGCTTTCATAATGAACCCCTTAGTTGGTTTTTTTTTTTTTTTTTCGGCTTTTTACTACTAGAAGTACTTTATGGTTTGGGTATATTTCGAAAGATTTTCACAATAATCGTGAACTTACACCGAAACTGATTCTTGCCCACAATAAAGAAAAGCAAAGTTCATCTCTTCGGTCGAGAACAATAGTGACTGCAGAAAATTTTCCCACATTAAATCTGATTTGCCCTAATCCTCGATATAAACGCTTTCTTAGTTGTTTCATTTACATACTCTCACATTGCTCTTTATGGCAAAAACTGCCGAACGGGAAAATAGGCCTGGAAGAATATCTTTAATTTGTTTCCCTTTTTGTACTAGATAAAACCCAAGAGACTGAGTTTGGTACATCACTTTACAGAACTCCTTCACCCCTCTGAGGGACTGGTAAGGAAGAAGAAATGGAATCTAAACTTTTGTCCGTGGTTTCACCCTTTGCTCATTCCCAGTACAAGTAGGAAACGTACTCAAAATGTATTAGCAAAAAGAACCTAAACAGTTTTGTTCATTTGTTTTTCCTTCAGAAAAATGGAGCAATGGTATTTGCGTTATCACGTACGGGGATGTTGAGAAGTGACATAAAGTCTTATCAAATACCAGACCTAATAGGAAAGGTAAGAAGGACATATACTCGTTTATTGCTGGCGAGCCATAGCGAGGCAGCAGCCTATTCTTTACAATGAATAAAGGCTGAAAGTTTCTAAAGAAACTGTGGTGCTGCGACGGTGGGGGTAACAAGGTAATTTGGTTATATCAACTAAGTTGAAATTGTAAATTGGCCACCGTAACAAATAAAAATGCTGACGTTTCGAGCGTTA